AAGCATGAACGTCTGCTCAGCATAGCGACAGGGAATCGGGAAAGGATTGTTGATCTCCGATAAAATTGCAGTCCGCTCTACTTTATTTTCATGCACTGTCTTTGTGAATGCTCTAGAATTAAAAAAAATCTACAACGATCTAAAAAGTTCGGAAGGCTTTCTGCCGACCGAAGCGGTGCTAACATCTGCCTGCGTCGCCGATTGATAGACCGCAGGCTTCCTCTACCTGAGAAGACAGACAAAACAGGCGGACAATCGAGTGCTTATATGGCAAGTCAAAATCAATAACCCGTCCGTTAAACATACAGGGAAATAAAGGGGGTATATACCTTTTGTTTCTGCTTTTATTTCGCTTTCGGAGTATAAACTAATCTAAACAAAAAATCCTTCTATAAGCACATTTTTGTTCAATAGAAGATGACAACCTGCTGTTTCCTCTAAAGAAATAAAGATGGATTCCGCTCGAAGTTCGAGCAATAACTGCAAAAATTAGTTACAAAAAATGTACTCATAGCACGGTAATTTTAGGAATGTGACTCTGCGATCAAATTCTCAAGCATTCTCAAGAAAGTTATGTCAAACATCGTAAGAATACTTAAACTGTGTGCAATTGTGTGCAATTGTGTGCAATTGTGTTTTCAACTGACGCGAAACGTCTGTTTTAATCGAAGTATGGATAACTTCAAGTTTAGGTTTCTCTCACGGGGTCAGCTAGAGAGCAAAAGTCTCGATAAGTTCTTTCTTGGCTGTACTCAAAATACTACCATACCATGAGGTTTTTTGTCGAGTTAATTTTTGCCATTATTATTCTGCGGAAATCATCTTAAAAGCATTAAAATTGCGCTATTAGTATAGCCTTACAACCGGAGAAAGAGAGAAAACGAAGACTCAAAAGCACAAAACCATGCATGTTGCCCGCGCGATGTAAATAGCAAAAAAATTACAAGAGAATTATTTTAGCAACGCGAAAATCATTACTGTTAAGAAGTAGTTTAGCGTCCTACATCAAGTACACCGAGTGTTTTCTTTTGAAAAATCCACATCTAAATGTACAGTGAACCGAGTCAAGGAAAGCCCTACGTGACTGAACCTACTTTTCAAAATGAAAATGGACCCAGTGACCGTACGTGTACAGCTTCTTCAATGATATTTGGTGTTAAATCTTCAAACTATTAATGTACATCATGTATATTTACGTATACATAACAAACAACTACTAACAATTTCCCATCAGAACCATGTTTTGAAACGCATCTATTTCGGAACTGAGAGCGGACTCGACGACGAGAATCGATACGGTTAAGTTTAATACTTTACTACTGGATAATTTATCATA